TTTTAATTTTCTGTCGTCTAAAAAGGCATTTTAAGGCCTTTAAACGCTTCTAACGCCTAGAAAACGCATTTTAATTTTCTGTGGTCTAAAAAGGCATTTTAAGGCCTTTAAACGCTTCTAACGCCTAGAAAACGCATTTTAATTTTCTGTGGTCTAAAAAGGCATTTTAAGGCCTTTAAACGCTTCTAACGCCTAGAAAACGCATTTTAATTTTCTGTGGTCTAAAAAGGCATTTTAAGGCCTTTAAACGCTTCTAACGCCTAGAAAACGCATTTTAATTTTCTGTGGTCTAAAAAGGCGTTTTAAGGCCTTTAAACGCTTCTAACGCCTAGAAAACGCATTTTAATTTTCTGTGGTCTAAAAAGGCATTTTAAGGCCTTTAAACGCTTCTAACGCCTAGAAAACGCATTTTAATTTTCTGTGGTCTAAAAAGGCATTTTAAGGCCTTTAAACGCTTCTAACGCCTAGAAAACGCATTTTAATTTTCTGTGGTCTAAAAAGGCATTTTAAGGCCTTTAAACGCTTCTAACGCCTAGAAAACGCATTTTAATTTTCTGTGGTCTAAAAAGGCATTTTAAGGCCTTTAAACGCTTCTAACGCCTAGAAAACGCTTCTAAAAAGGCATTTTAAGGCCTTTAAACGCTTCTAACGCCTAAAAAACGCATTTTAATTTTCTGTGGTCTAAAAAGACGTTTTAAGGCCTTTAAACGCTTCTAACGCCTAGAAAACGCATTTTAATTTTCTGTGGTCTAAAAAGGCATTTTAAGGCCTTTAAACGCTTCTAACGCCTAGAAAACGCATTTTAATTTTCTGTGGTCTAAAAAGGCATTTTAAGGCCTTTTAACGCTTCTAACGCCTAGAAAACGCATTTTAATTTTCTGTGGTCTAAAAAGGCATTTTAAGGCCTTTAAACGCTTCTAACGCCTAGAAAACGCATTTTAATTTTCTGTGGTCTAAAAAGGCATTTTAATTTTCGCATTTTAATTTTCTGTGGTCTAAAAAGGCATTTTAAGGCCTTTAAACGCTTCTAACGCCTAGAAAACGCATTTTAATTTTCTGTGGTCTAAAAAGGCATTTTAAGGCCTTTAAACGCTTCTAACGCCTAGAAAACGCATTTTAATTTTCTGTGGTCTAAAAAGGCATTTTAAGGCATTTAAACGCTTCTAACGCCTAGAAAACGCATTTTAATTTTCTGTGGTCTAAAAAGGCATTTTAAGGCCTTTTTAATTTTTTATGGTGTAAAAAAAAATTTTCTGTGGTGTAAAAAGGCATTTTAAGGCATTTAAACGCTTCTAACGCCTAGAAAACGCATTTTAATTTTCTGTGGTCTAAAAAGGCATTTTAAGGCCTTTAAACGCTTCTAACGCCTAGAAAACGCATTTTAATTTTCTGTCGTCTAAAAAGGCATTTTAAGGCCTTTAAACGCTTCTAACGCCTAGAAAACGCATTTTAATTTTCTGTGGTCTAAAAAGGCATTTTAAGGCCTTTAAACGCTTCTAACGCCTAGAAAACGCATTTTAATTTTCTGTGGTCTAAAAAGGCATTTTAAGGCCTTTAAATATAACATCACAAACAATATTTTCAAAATAATAGCTACAAAAATGTTAAATTAAAATACATAAGAAGAAAGGACTATTGTTGTTGTTGGTGTATGGGTTAGCAGTTAATAGGACAAACCAATTGCACTTGCTTGATACTATTAATAGAACAAAGGGTGCTTGAAATTTGCGGAGGAAATTATTTATTGTCGTAAGGATGCATCGTTACAAAGTCAATGCAATGGTGGGAGAGGGCTCTTTTGGTCATGTCTATAAGGCGCTTCGGAAAGATGACAATCAGATTGTGGCCATTAAAGTCATATCAAAGGTAAGTTGATACAATTCTTTAAAAGGATACAAAATTTATTAGCATATATTTTGCAGAGAGGCCGCACCAGCCGTGACTTAAAAACCCTTCGCCGTGAATGTGAAATACAGGCCCATCTCAAGCACCCCAACGTCATTGAAATGTTAGAATCTTTCGAAACAAAACATGATTTGATTGTGGTCACAGAGTTTGCCACCATCGATTTACATCGTTATATGGAACGTAATGGTTATTTGCGGGAGGATAAAGGACAACGACTGATATGTGATTTGGTGTCCGCGCTCTATTATTTACATTCAAATCGTATTTTACATCGTGATTTGAAACCACAAAATGTTTTACTCGATGAAGAGTTGCGAGCAAAGCTGTGTGATTTTGGTTTAGCTCGCAACATGACAATGAGTACACATATGTTGACATCCATCAAAGGTACGCCATTGTATATGGCACCCGAGCTATTGGAAGAGAAGCCGTATGATCATCAAGCTGATATATGGTCGCTGGGATGTATATCATATGAATGTTTGGTGGGTCATCCACCGTTTAGTACCACCTCTATATTGCATTTGATAAAAATCATTAAAAAGAATGAAGTCACCTATCCGGGATATTTGAGTCGTGATAGTCGTTCGTTTTTGCAGGTGAGTGGAAAATATTAGGAGTATTATTTGTCAAAAAATATATAAAGGAGGTATTTCAGATGTGGAAGCTTGTATAGGTGGATCACTATTGTCCATTTAGAAATTGTACCTGAAGACAAATAAGTACAAAATATCTGTATATAGAAGAGCTTCAAAAAGTATTTTATATATAAAAGAGCTTCAGCATTTCTTCTTCCATAGAAGAGCTTCAGAAGACCCTCTATCTAAAGAAAAGCTTCAGAATGTCATCTACCTATGGCAGAACACCAGAAAGTCTTCAAAATAGAACTACTTCGTAAGTTCTAATAAATATAAATAGCTGCAGAATTCCTTCTATATAAAGATGTGCTTCAGAAGGATTTCTATCTATAGAAGAGTTTCAGTAGGTCTTCTATCTATAGAAGATGTTCAGAAGGTTTTCTGTGTGTAGAAAAAAATCTTCCATAATCTCACGAACGATTTCAGGATGCCTTCTGTCTATGTAAGTGATTCAGAAGGCCTTCTGTCTATAGAAGATCTTCAGAAGTGTTATGAATGTTATTCTGCCTTTAGAGTGCCTTGAATACCTTCTGTCTACAGAAGTTTTTAATCATTTACAAAAATTTGTGTGGGAGTTTTTAATAGATGTTTGTTATTTATTTTCCAGGCCCTTTTGGAAAAGGAACCAACAATGCGAGCCAGTTGGGCTCAAATTCTCTGTCATCCCTTTGTCGAAGGTAAACTTTATATTAAGGCTGGTGTCAAGTCTGAAAATTCACCATTTGTAAATCCACAAAATGGAAAAAATAAACTTAACAAGTCCTCCAGTCAGTCCAAGGAAAAGTAAGTAATGCCTTTTTATATACAATCCTAAAAGCTTCTATAATTTCTCATACATTTTTAGTAATCTGAATATGGTCAAAGTCAGTCACAAATTACGTTCTATAAAATTGGATGAATCTCAAGATAATATGACATGTTCACGCGATAGTATTAATGCCATCCCACCCAGTGATATGGAAGTCTTGGAAACAGATGTTGAAGATAATATAATTGTACCATTTGCCAATGAATCATTTCAAGGGGATAAATTAATCTCAAAAAATTTACCAAATGAAATGAAATCTACACCCATTCTACCAAGACCACACGTTTTGGGTGGTGAGATGTTGCAAATACCCGGTGTACATATGCCGCTAATAAATTCTCAGACCTGCTTTGTTAATGGCAACAATAATATGATATTAAATAATTTGGAAGATAATTTTACACTTACCAATACTCTGATGAATGATGATTATAATACCAGCGGTTATAATGATAATAGTAATATGGTCGTAAACACACTACAAGAAAATTTAGATGCAAATGATGCTGAGAATTTCAATGAACATAATAACAGTTTACAACAAACCAATGACGAGCATAATACAACTTTAAAAAATTCTCAAATAAATGACGGACAACATTTGGAAAATCATTGTTTTAGAGAAAATACACATCGCATAAATAATGATGCATCAACGGCAAAGGGTTTGAAACAAGAATCCACAGAGAAGTTGAAACATTCTAAACGGGCTGGCGAACATGATAAGTCTCAGGATAATGAACAAAAATCGAATTCTGTTAAGACATCAATACAATCACTGGAGGGGAAACATAATACTCAGTATGTTTACTTACCTATATCTGTTTCCAAACATGACTTCAAAATCATGTTCATTTTCTTTTACAGAAATTCCCCACCATGTCTAATGCCCGGCTGGGATTCATGCGATGAATCTCAAAGTCCTCCCATGGAAAGTGATGAATGGTTGGCATTTTTACAGCGCACAATACAAGAAGTCTTGGATGGTGAATTGGATTCATTGAAACAAAAGAATTTGGTAGGAATTGTAACCGCTAGAAAAAAAGTGCTTTTTTATTTCAATACTAATTTTTTATTTCATTTTGTAGGTCAGTATTATTGTGGCTCCTTTACGCAATACTAAAGCCATACCCAAGGTAATCGAAAGTGTGGCCGAATTATTGTCTCTGCCATTTGTCTTAAATGAACCGCTCAGTATTATGGAGTCAATTAACAAGGTATAAAATATTATTACAATATTGCAGTAATATTGAGGTACAAAACATATAATATCGTTACCCGACCACACGAATAATTCTGACACGGATTAGGAAATCGTACAGAATTAATTACTCAAACTGTTTTCTTTCTTTTTTATGCCATTAACCATTTATATTATCTTCTTCTCGTTTTTAGGTCTACATTGATTGCAAAATAGTTCCTAATCTAATGTATGCCTCAAAATTATTAATCTACGAACGTTTGGCGAATGATTCCATTACATCATTGCCACGACAAATACGTACGGTTAATTATATGCGCGAAGAGGAAATCAAATGTATTTCTCGTCTCTATGAACTGGTGTGTCACTTGGTCCATTTAAATCTACAATTTCTGAATCAATTTTGTGATGCAGTCGCGATTTTATCGGCAAATGAATTTCTTATTAATTTTCTAAATCAAGATTTTAAAAATTCGCATGCTTTACGTATTGCCACAAATATTTTGGCATTATTATGTTGTGTTCTACGTGAATTACCCGAAAATGCAGAACTGGTGGAAAAGATTATATTTTCACCAAAGGTGGATTTAAGTGCGTTAATGCAAAGCAACAATGATTTGTTACGTTTGCGAATTTGTATGCTATTACGTCTATTGGGTAGATATAGTTTAAGAGCTTTGCAGGCGGCATGGTCCACTGATGTGAGGGAAGCAATTGAATTGCTGAGTGAAGATAATAATGAGGATGTTAAAGTGGTAAGTTTTTTCTTAAATAATTACTTTAGTAGTATTTTTCAAAATTTTATTTGATTTCTTTTTTTCGTTTCAGGAGGCTGGTAACACTGTAGAGGAGTTGCGTAAATTTTCTTTTTATGCTTAAGTATTATTGAAATTCCATTTATCTTTACTTAAAGTAAAGTCAGTTGTAAGCATTTATTTTGATACTCATCTCTTTTTTTTATTTTATTTGTATTTTTTAAATTTATATATTCTAACAAGGTTTTTTAAATAATTAAGTATGTTAAGTGATTGTATTACACAACAAAAAACAATGTTAAATTCTATACGAAGATTCTATCAAGTGTTCCTTGAAAATAATCAATAATATTATCTAAATAGTTGCCAAAACGATCAAAATCGAAAATACTAAAAACATTACATTCTTCTTCGTACATTTCATTTAACTTGGCAATGTCCTTCTCCGATAGGCCTTTACGTTGACCCAAACTGGCAGTGGGATCCTGTTTAAGAAACACAATTTTTTATATTAAAAACAATATTAATTTTTTTCATTTTATGTAAGACTTACCAAAGGTTCAATGGTATTTTTACCATTTTTCGTAAATGCCTTAGAACTATAGTGCATAACGCTATTATAATCGTACTCCACACCAAAATTGGTAACATATGTCCGAGCATATTTATTGAAATTGTGTGCATGCCCCGGCAAAATATTTTCCCAATTGATTTTGACATATTCATCACGTTCGGTTGACGATTGCTGGTGATAGAAACCCAGAGCATGCAACAATTCATGAACCACAACACCATGTGATACACATTTGGGTGTATTCAAATTTAAAACCTTTGAAAGATAACATTTTAAGAATTTTAATTTTTTATTTATTGTTGCAAAATTCTTTTAATTACAGCTCATTACTCACTTGTCCACCAGTTCTGCGACCAACACTGGACCAACATCCTGAATAATTGCCTTTAAAAACAATCCAATTTTTATCTCCTTTTTCGTATGGACGAAAACGTATGCATGTCTTGTCGTGATATTCCTTTAGGGCCCTTAATATGGTCATCGTTTGGGTTTCATCTGCAAAAGACGAAGCAACATTGCAGAGATTAATGGTAAGTAAGCAAAATTATCAATTTTTGTTCTCAATAAAATAACTAAAATTTTTGAACGTATAATTGCGCGCAAATATTTCCAAGGAATAGAAAAACCGGCGGTCGTATTTTTATATAATTATTTGTATTAAATATATACATTTATATTGTTAAATATCAAATTATATCTAAGTTACACCATAATGCACCAAAGTCCAGGAGATTTAAATCATTAATCGAGGATGAAGAAGGTATCGAACACCTACTCTGTACTCATCTGTTTAGTATATTCGGGATAGATACTCTTTCTTTTTCTCCGATGATTCCATTATAATATTTTTCCTCTTCCATTCTTCTATTTATCCTCTACTCTACAATAGACCACTGATCTCAGAAGGCTTATATGGCTGCCGAAGATACCTTATCTTAACCTAATAGGCATACATATGTAGATCAATATATTGACCTTTGCTGGTTTAGACATATCCAAATCATATGGGGTCGAAAAGCGTAATTTAAATAAGGTTCCTATTTGAGGGTTTCAGAGTCCAAATCCAATTTTTTGGTGTTCGTTTTTCAAGAAAACTGCAAACTTTCTCAAAAAATTTTCATCGTTCTTATTAAATATTACCAATATCGATCCACACAATTTTCTAACCAAAGTCACAATTTTTTAGCATTACGAAATAGTTGCAAATTGGAATACGGTAGCCTTGGTTAGTCTACAACTTCTCCACATCATTTATTTGAAGATGAACTCAAATGTTTGGTATAGTCGGGATAGACACTCGGACCTTTTTCTCCGATGATCCCATTATTATTTTTAACATCTACTTAACCTCTACCCTACAATGGATCACTGGCCTCGGAAGGCTTACTTGGCTGCTGAAGATACCTTAACCTAAAGGGCATACATATGTAGATCGATATATAGAACTTTGCGGGTTTAGACAGATCTAAATCGACACCAAATTGTTGGAAAAGGACAATGGACCAAAACTCATATGTGGTTGAAAAGCGTCATTTTAACAAGGACCATATTTGAGCGTTTCAAAGTCCATATCCCATTTTTCGATTTTTTAAGAAAACTGCAAACTTTTTAATTTTCTCCACCTTCAGGTGCTAGGACGTTTAATATTGCAAATGGGGTTTATCGCTCCACGTTTTGATATATATATATATATATATATATACCATATATTGGTACCCTCCAAATATTCGGAGGTATGGCCGCCATATAGTGTTACTCCATATCATATTTTGGTGATATTAGAAACGCTTTTCCGTCGATTTGACAGTAACAATATATTCTCATTGGATTAAAAATTTTTCTTATTAAATATTACCAATATCGGTCCACACCATTTTCTAACCAACGTCACTATGTGTTAGCATTACCAAATAGTTGTACATTGGAATACGGCGGCCTTGGTTAGTCTACAACTTATTCACATATAAAGGTCGTCGGTAATATTCAAGGTCCTAGACCAATTTTCCAACCTGCTTGTCCTGGTAGCAAAGTTAGTTTTAGTTATTTTGGACCGGTGTAACTTAACGACGTTTTTACTTGTGGGAACAAGTTTTTTTTTTTAATTTTACTATGTGCAATGTTTGCTTCAAAACCGATACTTGGTTTGATGTGACGTCAAATTTTTACACGTAGTACATGCCTATATATTGGTGGTACTAATATCCTTCTTATTCGAAGATTGATCACATTCATGGATTGATTCATGTCTTGTCCATACGTGTTAGTTGTAAACCTCAACTTGTGTTTCACTTTTTTATTGTTGTTATTCATTTTCGTAATACTCACTGAAATCTTGGCTATCTATATAGAATGGCACCGTGGCATCTGGCCAAGTTGATTTTTCATTTAGCAGACCATTGCGTAAATATTCACGATGCAACATGATGTCACCTTCAAATAGTCCACTATGCTCCCAAATATGATCCTCATTTGCATCATTCCAATATTCAAAAGCTGGACCTGGAACAGAGTCCAGTAAATTAATGAGAAGCGATTATTGCTGATAAAATACCATTTGTTAAATAGTTACCACATACTGTTGTGTTGTCTCAACATATGCATATTTGGACCCCAGCGTGGATTGGGAGGTTTTACCGGATTCCAATTGGTCATGGCGGCGGCTTGACATTGTCTCACTGGTTGCGATGCCAAGAATAGACCAAGTAACAAAAAATAATGCAAGAAATGCATTTTGCAGTTTGGAGCAAGAATAGTGCGTTTGTTTCTTCTTCTACACGTTCTTTTTTGGCTTCCAACCAATTCAATTGACTTTCTTCTTTCACTATCAATGATATAAATTTAAATGACGACTACTTCAATTCGAATGAAGAAAATCAACTTCACTTTCTTTGTCGACTGACAATAACCTATAGAAAGACTTTCAAAAATATTGAGGGTCTTTTATAGTCTCGGTTCAATTCGCCATTCGGCTCTTTGCTTCACTCTCCTACGCTTCTTCACTCTCTGACTTCAACACCTGACACTTTGGCATTTTTTTGTCGAATAAGAACTTTCAATTGTTTTTCGATTAAAATATCCATCCCATTCACATTCGACAACTGAAAAAAAAGAAAATCGCTGACAACAAATACCCATTGAACACTTCGGGCAAGCGCGCAATTCATTCAGATTGGTAATAAAATTGTGTTTTTGAATATCATTAAAAAAAAAAATGAAATTGTCAAGTGCCGAGCAAGCGGTATGCGTTTGCGCTTAGCAGTTTATTTTTGTGCGAGCGAGTTCGAGCCAATGAATTTAAAATGTAAATTGAAAGTATTTTTGTCGTCGATACATAATTTACTCATGGGCTTGAAGGTGGGGGGAGTACACCTTTGGAGAATGTGTGTGGGTGGGTGTGCGGCCCCAACTATGAAAGCTTTCAAATTACAGTTTATATATATGAGAATTAAACTTCCTATAAATTGAAAGCTTCATCTATGGTCAAACCTCCAAAAATGGCTATCAGATGTAATTAATTACTAGAAATATTAGGTAATAATACCAACAATGATAATAAATTACCTAAAGACAATCTTCAATATAACAAAATACGAGGGTTGTTTAACATTAAAAGTTGCATTTTATTTGTCGCAAAAATGTTATACCTTTCGATTAGTGTCATAGTCCCTTTTCCATTACTCTATGACATTTAAAAAAGTTTAAATAAGTAATAGGACTCGTGCATTTAAAAAAAAAATAGTTCGACAAGGCCGAATTTTTTTACATCCTCCATGTTGTTGCATAGCGAAATGTAAGCTACTTGGGTTAAATTTAATTTTAGGTACTTCGGTTAAAACCTTAGGAGGTATGTCAAAACTAATATAAAAAATTGTCTAAATTACCAAATTACAGCAGCTATTCGACAAAAAATCTGTAAAATGCCGGGATCTTTATGTGGGACTATATCGAACCTATATAGACTCTGTTTTTATCCTCCAATGCGGCTCAAACTTTCAAAATACTCACAATGAGGTGCTACCTTATATGGAGACTGCCTCTACGAACCCTTTATAGCAAATTACAGCCACATTGGTGGAAAAATGCTACAAAAGCCGTCAAAACATCGAATTTTAGGATGTAACGTTATATACCCTAAAAAGTGGACAAATGTTAATAATTTTACTAAGACGATTTTCTACGAATTTATGGTTGAATATGTTTAAAAACCTGCCCAAAAGCTTCTAAATACCCAATATTGGGAGGAACCGTTAACCGGAACGTGGGACAATATAGATTTTTTTGGTAGGTATATGTTGGTGGGTATCGTTATATGGCGGGGTCCTTAAAAGTGAGCCCCTATATCCCATTTTCAATACCAACCACATATTCTGATCAATTATATATGTATATACTTTATGAGGTTTCAGGTGAATAATTCGAGGTATTGCAAACGAAATGACAAATTTAATATACACTCCACCGCTTGGAGGAGGGTACAATTACAAATTGCCCAGGCTGTTAAATAAAAATGTTCCACTTTATTTGTCGCAATCATATTAGGATAGGTTTTTGGG